TGAAGTTACCCTGTATATTAGCAGAAAAAAATGTTGAAATTCATGCTCATGTAGTAGAGTTTGCAATACCTCTTTTATTGAGAAAAGATGCTATGAAAAATGCTAATACCATTCTGAATTTTAAAAATAATAGTGTCTTCATGATTGGCCAAAAGTTACAAATTTTCTGCACTAACTCTGGGCATTATTACATTCCTCTTGCCAAAAAGAATGAAAGTATTGTTCTGATCAGCACTCAGGATATTAAAAATAATTCTGTTGGAGAAAAAAGAAAACTAGCAGAAAAACTTCACAAACAATTCAGTCATCTAAGTTATAAGTAAATGAGTTCACTACTGAAAGATGCAGGAGTTCTTGATGTTGAACTTAGGAAATTACTTCCAATTGTGACATATGCTTAAAATAAAGAGAGCACCACCAAAGCCCATTGTTGGTTACTCTTTAGCAAAACACTTCAATAAAATGACATCTATGAACATAAAAGAAATTAATAAGGATCAAGATTCTTTAATTTAATGGATCATTTTATCAGATGCAGTGTAAATTCTATTAGAAAAAAAAGTGAAAAGAAAGTTCAGAAATTATTAACATTTTATTTCAGTTTTGGGTTTTGCATATTTTGGATGATCTCCTTGTAGTTTTCTAACCAATAATGGGTGAGAATTCAATAATGAAACTTTCAGAGACATAACCAAGAATTTAAATATTATTGTACAAACTACACCAGCACAAGGTCCATGGAACAATGGATTAAATGAGCGCCACAATGAAATGGTACTCAAAACTATGGAAGACACTGGTTGCAACTTGAAACTTGTCATTGCTTGGTTACTGAGATCCAAAAATAATTTGCATAATGTCAGTGGCTATAGTCCAAATCAACTGGGATTTGGACAAAATCTTAATGTGCCTTCTGTTCTGATAAATAAGCCCCTAACTTTAGAAGATATTACATCAAGTGAATCCATATCTAACAAATATGCATGCAGTAAGAAAGGCTTTTATCCAGGCAGAGTCATCTGACAAAAATTCAAAGAGCTTTGCAACAAAAGGTGAGACCCATTACTGCTATTAAATACAGAATTGGAGATCTCATATATTTTAAGAAAAAATGAATCAAGCTATTGGATGGGACCAAGAACAGTTATAGGAACTGAAAACAGTAGGTGTTGGTCAAGCATGGAGTAAGCTATGTTAGAGTGCATCCATGTTGATTGCAGATATATAAAAATGACTTTGTTGAAGAATTGAATGAACCAACAACTAATGAGAAACCATTCAATACAGAAAATTCATAGGATGAAGTAAAAATTTTGAAGATGCTGTGGAAGGTTCACTTGATGGGAAAAAATATTAGTCCTTCCATGGGTGACAATGCAAAAACTCATGAACTGAGTAGCAGTCAGGAGCCAAAAAAAGGCTGGATGTCCATCAAAAAAAAAAAAAAAAATCTGTGAAGGCAGATAATGGAATTTTACCAAGAATAGTGCAAGAGATAGTGTACAAGATGGCATCAGACAATGATCCTACTTGGAAGAAAATGAAAGTTATCAGTCATGCTGGAAGAGCTACTGGTATAAATAAAAATATTTTAAATGTAGGTGTTGAAGGGGAAGAGCTGTTTTGGCTTGATTTTCGGATAACTGTGGTAGAGTGGGAAGACTTTCTTAACTATAAAAAAGATCCACAAGAAGAGTTTTGTGAAATCGACCCTATTGAAAAGGAATTTACAAACAAGGAAATTAGCTTACTTTCAACTGTCAATATTATAGAATATGCTGAAGCTAAAAAGAAGGAATTATATAATTGGGCTGAGAAAAAAGTTTTATTCTGTTGTATCAAACTCAGGCCCAAATACAATTACAAGTTGGATTTGCACAAAAAAAAAAAAGAAAAAAGGCCAGACCAGTTGCAAAAGGATTCCAAGATAAAAACTCAGGATGTGTTAGAAATGACTCATCTACTTGCTCAAAAAGACAAATTATCCTGACCATCATTGTGGCTTTGAGTTGGACATATCATTCTATGGATATCAAGACAGTATTTTTGCAAGGGAAACAATTTGAAAAGACATTTTTTTTTAAAACCTCCTCCAGAAGCTGAAGTTCCTGAATGTTATATATGGAAGTTAAATGTGTATATGGAATGAATGATGCTTCTTGTAATATCACTCCTCCTATATGGCAAGGAATGGTGGATAATTTCCTCACAAATGAAGAGAAGACATAAGAAAACAGATGTGGTTCTGCAGAAGGATGCTGAGAATATCATGGACGGAGCATGTGAATAATGTGGAAATTTAAAGGAAAATAGAAACAAAAAGAATAATTATATTTAGAATCAGAGACAAATGAAATTTCTGGGATGCATGAGGAAAGCAGGCTTGGAAAATTTCACACTCACAAGACATATTGAAGGCAAAAAGAACAGGAGAAAAAAGCAAATAATCTACCTAATGAGCTTGTGTAAATGGAGGCAAAACAGGGAGTAGGAAAGATATTAAGAGAATAAACATTTCTAAGAGCTATAAAGAATAGGAAGTTGTGGAGACCCACGTCCTGAAGGAACACAGGACATAAGATGACTTACTTTCATTTTTTATTAGATGAAACATTCTCAGCCATTATTATTAATTTTTGACTAGTATTTACTTTCATCTTCATTTTTTATTAAAAGTATTTTTAACCATTATTAATTTTTGACTAATGTTTACTTTCATCTTCATTTTGTATTAGATGAAGCAAGCCATTATTATTAATTTTTAAACTTTCACCTTTGTTTTGTATTTGATGAAAGTATTTACTTTTCACCTTTGTTTTGAGAACATTCTCAGCCATTATTATTAATTTTTAAATTTAAGTATTAGATGAAGCATTCTCAGCCATTATTATTAATTTTTAATGAGTATTTACTTTCACCTTTGTTTTTATTTGATGAAACATTTTCAGCCATTATTATTAATTTTTAATGAGTATTTACTTTCACCTTTGTTTTGTATTAGATGAATAGTATTTACTTTCACCTTTGTTTTGTATTAGATGAAGCATTCTCAGCCATTATTATTAATTTTTAAGTATTTACTTTCACCTTTGTTTTGTATTAGATGAAGCATTCTCAGCCATTATTATTAATTTTAATGAGTATTTACTTTCATTTTTTATTTGATGAGCCATTATTATTAATTTTAATGAGTATTTACTTTCACCTTTGTTTTGTATTAGATCATTCTCAGCCATTATTATTAATTTTTAATGAGTATTTACTTTCACCTTTGTTTTGTATTAGATGGCATTCTCATCATTATTATTAATTTTTAAAGTATTTACTTTCACCTTTGTTTTGTATTTGATGAAACATTTTCAGCCATTATTATTAATTTTAATGAGTTTTTTACCTTTGTTTTTTGATGATGAAGCATTCTCAGATTATTATTAATTTTAATAGTATTTACTTTCACCTTTGTTTTGTATTAGATGAAGCATTCTGCCATTATTATTAATTTTTAATGAGTATTTACTTTCACCTTTGTTTTGTATTAGATGAAGCATTCTCAGCCATTATTATTAATTTTTAATGAGTATTTACTTTCACCTTTGTTTTGTATTAGATGAAGCATTCTCAGCCATTATTATTAATTTTTAATGAGTATTTACTTTCACCTTTGTTTTGTATTTGATGAAACATTTTCAGCCATTATTATTAATTTTTAATGAGTATTTACTTTCACCTTTGTTTTGTATTAGATGAAGCAAAGCCATTATTATTAATTTTAAATTTACTTTCACCTTTTTGTTTTGTATTAGATGAAGCAAATTATTAATTTTTAATGAGTATTTACTTTCACCTTTGTTTTGTATTTGATGAAACATTTTCAGCCATTATTATTAATTTTTAATGAGTATTTACTTTCACCTTTGTTTTGTATTAGATGAAGCATTCTCAGCCATTATTATTAATTTTTAATGAGTATTTACTTTCACCTTTGTTTTGTATTAGATGAAGCATTCTCAGCCATTATTATTATTTTTTTGACTTTCATCTTCATTCTTCAGTTGCTTTTTATCACAATTTGGCTAAATTGAATTGTGATAAAAAAAATTCAGATGAAAGCAAATATAAATCAAAATTACTAATAATTATTGATCAGTCTTTGATGAGGAGCTAAAGCAACCTGATCACTTTTTTCTCTTGCTTAAACATTATCATTCTTACAAATGGACATTGGAATACAGGGTGACATCTATATACAGTATGATGACTCAAGTGAAGAGGGTGCAAATAGAGAGCATGTAAGCAGAAGGAGAGGCAATTTTTAAACCAAATCAAGTAAAACTGTTAGTATTTCTACAAAAGATCTTTAACAATGAGTATAAGGATGGGTGCATTGTGTAATAGTCACTGGCTTGGAAAAAGGAATTGAAGAGTTTGAATTCTAGTCAAGTTCATTACATTCACTTTTGCACAAAGACCCTTGGCAAAGGCATGAAACCAATGCCTTCTCTACTGAGCTATGAATTAAATAGCAGGACAGACTAGGCTCTCTAGTCTTGATTGGCAACCAGTCTAGGAGAAGGACATATCTGAATTAGAAACTGGTTGAGTGTGGGTTAGGTAAACTCCACCTTATAAAAATTTAGTTGCCATGGAAACCACAACAGCAGCATCTAACATGATGAGGCTGTGACCCTATATGTCACCAAGAGAGTCAATTGGTATTCAAGTGAGGGTGACAGAAACACAAACTTGGGAATAGTTTGACTTAAACCTCAGGATTTTGTCAATATATGGAGTATCTATGTGTCCTGCCTAAGATCAAAATTATTTATATATTATTTTTTAATACCATAAATAGGGTTTCTAGGGTTGAGGAGAGGTGGATTAATGCCTTACGTAAAGGTATTTGCGTGTAAGTGAATATAATGAACCCAACTGGAATTGGAACTTGGCTCACTGATTAACAATTGAATGTCATTATCCATTATACTACATGCACATCCAAGCTTACAGCAGCTGGTATTCCCATGTGGTCACTGATCTTGGTACTGATCAGGCTCAACATTGCTTAACTTTGGTGATTGTACACGAACTGGTGTTTCAATGTAATATGGCCATAAGCCACTGTAATCCAAGAAGAAATCAATTATTCTGTAGTATGGAAAGTAGCATTGGCAAGCCAAGTTCAAATTTTGGCTAGCTCTGTTGCATTCATTTTCACACAAATGTTCTGGGAGAAGGCATGAATCTATCTCTTCTCCTAGCTGTGAGTTAAAAAGCAGGGTAAGCTGGGCTCTTTAGGCTTGTATGGCAACCAGTCTAAGAGAAAGAAAATTCTGAATTCAAAACCATGGAGATGACAGTGGGAAGCCACTCCATTATCTTTTCCAAGAAGTTATGACAACTCAGATTAAATGACTGATTAGGACAGATATAAAAGAAAAGAAACCAGCTAGGAGCCATGAGACCTACATCCTGAAGCGACACAGCATTTGAAAGAAAAATATTTGAAATAATAACTTAAAAAGATATAAGGTTGAGTCATGTGGACAGCATTTTGCTGCTTATAAAATACTTTTTTTTTCTCTCCAAAAACCACCCTGCGTCCTATAAATAGAAGATCGGTGATAGGATTTATAGGTTAGCTAATTTTGTGAGAATATTACTTTTGGTAAAGTGTACACTGCAGACTTAGTGCTTGTGATAAACTTGTCAAGATTACTGGTAATGAGGATTTCAAGCTATAATAAGGATTCAGCCGTACGGTAAGCCATATCGTATGTTTTAACTGGCAAATAAAGTTAAGTTTAACTTTATTTCTGTATCCAAATTTACATTTATCTAGTTTAAAATTAGTTCTTCATTCTGGTTTGTGATGAATTTGTCACGATTAGTGCAGATTTCAGTCTACAATGAGATTAGATATCAGTCGTATTATACACTACAATTTCTCTTCTAATTATTACATTCAAAATAGTTACCATGAATTTGGTACTTCTAGGTCTGTGATGAATTTGTCATAATTAGTCAGGTTTTCATGCTGAAATATGCTATCAAATGACTAAAAATGGTGATAGTGGGAGTATCTAATGCATTAAGTAACAAAATATGGTAATTTTCATTTTGGAGAATTTTATGATGTCAATGAATACTTGTTGCCATTTTTGTGATGCCAACGAATACTTGTTGTCACTTTAGTAATGCTCATTATAGTAGAGACTTTATAATCGCAGATACAACTATAGTAACACCGTTGAACAATACTAGTGTCAGACACCTTTGAATAACGCTCGCACTAAGGGTACTTGCTTGATAATACTCACTCGAATAGTAACCACCGTATAGTGGTCTGAATAGAGAAATAGTATAGTGAATAGAGTAGCGAATAGCAGTCTTTATAGTAACAGAGGATAGACTAGAAATGGAGATCTGAATAGTAATAGAGGATAGACTAGAATGACGATCAATATAAACATCATGCTACTTTCTACTTATGTGTTTCCTCTATGGTCACGTGGTCAACTTAATAATGGGATCGCCTGTATTTGCTCACTGATGATATATGTTCAAACTCAAGTGTCGGCAGTGATTTATTTATTTGCCAATGTTTATATCCATACTAATTGTAAAAAATATTGGAGATAGTGGGGGCATCTAATTTTTGGGAACCAACTGTAATGACAAATATATCATCTAAGGTCACATATAGTAAGAAAAATCAAATTTAGAACTCAGATGACCTGTTGTACATCACACACACACACCATGTTCCCCTGAACTTGCACTGACTGATTATTACCCTTTTTATCACTTTCATATTGTGTCTCCTTTGGTTAACATTTTCCATTGACATGAAATGGAAAGATTCTATTGAATCAATTGCTAGGTCTGCTGTTAGGAAAAGTTGGTTCACTGTGTTGCGTTAGACAATCTTTCTCTCCAGAATCTTACAACTTTATAAGTCTGCCATTCATTCAGGCATTGAATATTGCTGCCATATCTGGTCTGATGTTTCTAATATATATTTAGAGATTCTTGAGGAAATCCAAAGAAGAATCTGCAATGTTATCATTCTTCACCTGGCATCTCAGTTTCAGTCACTTTCCCACCACTGTGCCTTTTCTATAAATATTTTCATGGTAAGAGTTCTGATGCGATTTCCTCTTCAACACCTTGACTTTAAAAATTTAAGTGCAGTGCTGTTAGATCTCATCATCTTACAGTTGAAATTTGTTTAATGTAACCATAAGTTTGATGCCAACAGTTTCTTCTCTTCTAGTTTCTTGCTTTCCTGTAAACTTTGATCTTCTTAAAAAAAAAAAATCAAATGCAATCTTCTGTCTCTTAAATTTCTGTTCTTTGTCCTTAATATTTTTTTCTCTTATTCTTTTACTCAGTAACCCCTTATATCTTAGTAGCTTTATCACCTCCATAGCCAAGGATGTGGGTAGACTGAGGTCAGGTCCATAGACAGATTTTGTTTTTATACTTAAGGCAATATGTAGACAGAGGTTGTGACAGGTTTCAATAATTGCAGCAATTGCATATGTTTTAAAATATATTTTGAACTCTTCCTGCAAGTTATTTTAACACCTTAACCATTCTCACTGTGCATAAATTTCAAAGTAAGGAAACTCTTAAACCTGTACAGGTGAATTTGTTTTTGCCTAAAAAATTAATTTAAAAAATAAAATTTATGACTGGCTTTAAAAAAGCTAAAAGCCTGAACTGAACAATTATACTTAGATTAAAAGTGAAAGTGAAAGTTGAAATAACATCATCAAAGTAATTGATTTGCAGATTAAAGAATATTTCATTTTAGAAAAGGTGAGAAAATAGGAACACCTGCAGAATTAGGGAGATTTTGGCAAAGAAAAGAATGGGAAGATTGCAATGAGAAAAGGTGATAAAAAATAAATTTCATTTTCCATTTGGAAAGAAAGATTATTAATGAATAAAATTAAAACTGAAATGGCAAAATGGATGAAAACAAGAAAAGTGGAAAAAAACATGAAGAACAAATGAATTTAGAATGAAAAAGGGAAGAAAAGATATTAGACAGAAAAAGAAACAAAAAAAGAGGGAAGACAGAAGAAAAGAGAGGAGAAAATTCCAAAAGAAAATAGAATAACTAAAGAAAAGTAAGAGAAAAAGAAAAGAGAAAAAGGGGGTAAAAGGGAAAAAGAAAAGGGGAAAAAAAGGAAAAAGAGGAAAAAAAGGAAAAAAAAAAGAAAAAATTTAAAGAATAAAAGGAAAAATATTGAATCAAAGAAAAAAGAGAAAAGAAAAGTATAAATGAAAGATTTTACAGCCCCAAGGTATAGAAATCATCTTGTCTTTATCACAAAAGTAATGTTTACTAAATACCAAATAGATTTGTAAGTTTCATTAAATTCAACACCTGAGGAAAACGCTTTTTTTTTTTTGGTTAGTTGGGAATTTTCTTTTTCACCTTTACATTTTCATTGAATTAATATGTTGTCTATAAATGGAAAATTTTTATATTTTACAACCATTTTTTTTTCCTAAACTCATATTTCAATAACAGTCATTTTCCTACTGCCATAATGTAGCTTCCCTCTGCTTTTCTATAAATATTTTCATGGTAATTTTTCTGATGAACTTTCTTTTATGATTCCTAGACTTTATGAATTTGAGTGCAGTACTAGATTGGCAGCTCGGTCTCATCATTTTACAGTTAAAAATAGCTAGATGTAACCATAAGTTCTCTGCTAATGATTTCTTTTCATGCAATTCTTATTTGTGGAATTCTCTTCTTTGCAGCCAAATTTGATCTTCTTTATGCACCATGTTCCCTCAGGATGTAAGTGATCATGGCTCTCCACAACTTCCTGTCCCTTGTAGTTCTCATTAAATTTTGTCTGCTATATCTCCATCCATTTACTTAAGCACACTAGGTATGTTATGCATTTTTTTCTCTTGCCTTTAATCTGCCATGTATTAGATTCTCCAAACCCCTCTTCCTCATTATGTGTCCCAGAAAGCACAACTGTCTCTTCATAATGTTAAGTTTCTTTTTTGTTTACATTTTCTCTAAAACTTCTTCATTGCTCACATGTTCAGTCTGTGGTATACTCAGAATCCTTCTGTAGAACCACATTTCTGTTGCTTCAAGTCTCTTCTTGATCTTTGAAGAGATTGACAAGGACTCACTGCCATATAGGAGAACAGATATCACATAACAGTTTAATACTCTTTTCTTTGTTTCTAGCAAAATTTTTCTATTTCTTATTACTCTGCTTAACTTTTGGAAAGCTTCCTTAGCTATCATAATACACCTTTGGATTTCAGTGTCACACTTTCTGTCCTTTGTTAAAACACTTCCCAGATATTTAAATTTGATCTACAGAAATTTAAATGCAATTGTTATCTTCTGTCTTCTTTTATTTTTCTCTCTCCTTAATAGTGTCTTTTTTTCTCTCATATTCTCTAACTTTCAGTAAACCCTTGAATCTTAGTGGCTTACAGAAAAATGTATCAAATAGAAATTATACTATCACTAGTACTATAATGTAACAATCTGATTTCTGTTCATAACTGTGTTTATTTGTTACTGTAATAGAGTAAAAATGGCACATTATTGTAAGATTTTTGTTAGAGCAAGACCTTTATAATGTTCTAATTTGGGGATTAAACAAATTTAAATCCAATTTGGAAATTAATAATTGTAGTTAATAATAATAAGGCCACATTTGTGCTCACAATAATAATAATAATAATACATTCTTTGTATGTTTGAGTATTTTGTATAAAAGCTAAATAAAATTTCTCATCAGAATCCATTTTTCACATTTACAAATCTACCATTTGTCCATGCATTGAATACTGTTGCCATATCTGGTCTGGTGTTCCTGCTGTACATGTAGCAATTCTTGATAAAATCCCAAGAAGGATCTGGAATATAATCAATCCTGACCCAGCATCACGACTTCACTCACTTTCTCACTGACACAACATGGCTTCCCTGTCTTTTCTACAAATACTTTTATGGCATCTTTTTTACATAATTTTTAGTGAATACTTGTATCTGAGTAGACGATCCATTTATTTATTAAACAGCATATATCTCCATCCATCCTAGTGAGCCAGAAACTACCTATCAATGTTTTCACCTAACTTGCCAGCTTACCCTGAAGATCCATTTAGGTGAAACCTAGGTAGGTAGTTTCTGGCTCACTAGAATTTTTTTATACTCTACTCAGTGTATTGAGCACTTTACGTTTTTTCTTATTTTACTCAATTGGTTTTTTTTTTTCTCTTCGTTTGTTGAGCATTTTTTTTCAACTATCTCTAATGTTTTAGTCTTTCCTTTCTTTTCTAAATTTTTGGTCCAGATACCAGTTTGTTTAAATATATATTTATTTTCAAATTGTACTGTTTTTTTTTTATACCAGTCAAGTATAGATATTAAAATAATCATTATATATATATATATATATATATATATAATTATTATTTATAAAAAATTATAACATAAGTATGTTATAAAATCACTACAAAAATAGCCATTTTGTTTCAACACACTTGGTGTCTTATCAAGTGATGATGTTGAAGATAAAATAAATGGTTTTAAAAGTTTCAGATTAATTAACGATCCTACACTAGGGGGAAACATTGTTATAAAAGCTAGAATAACCAATCAAAAACCAAGTATAGAAAGATTCATATTTATATATATATATATATATGCATGTGCATAGTGTGGACATAGGAATCAACATTGCATGGTGACTGCCAGTTTTACCCTTCAATGCAATCTTCAGACCAAAATCTGTATGTACATAAATTTTGCATAGAAATATTAAATTTCTGGTCATTTGAAAGCCAAAAGTTAATTGAAACCTTGTGATTGAGGATTTGTTCCACAGAGAGCACCATCTCATTGCACCAGTCTATTTGGTGGGTATAAACAGATTTCACTATCCTATCACATTCTGCCATTTAGGGGATGGGGGTGAGGGCTTGGCAAAGAAATAACAGGGAGGTGCCTGAAACAAAACAATCAGTCACAGCCTGTTTGACAGTCAACATGGCCTATATTAATGTCTTTAATTCCTTTCTTGTTAGTGAAGAAATAAAGAAATCACTGATGTTAATTCTGAGTTTACTTTGTAGATATTCCAATAATAGAAAACATGAGAAACATCCCTTTCAATCCTCACTGGATGCTCCCATATTTTCAGCCTTGTGCCACATCTTAGCTACACTTAGAAAATCACTTTGAGAGGATCCCTTTATCAATCTACATGTCCCATCAGAGGCTACCCCTTATTGTGTTTCTGTTGGTCATAACTTCCCTTGTTGAGTTCACTTGCTTTATCCAAGGCTTCTCCTGTCAAATTCACCAACTTTATCAGAGACTGATAGCAGAAAACTTTGATGAGACCATGTACTTAATGTAGTGGTGGGGAGCCTTTGATGGCACATATGTGGATTTTGAGGAGGTATTGGGATTTGAGAAAGGGAAGCTTCCGATAGAGATTGTGTATTTTGAAGGGAGGAGATTCTGTTGTGGTAAAAGGCCATCCCATCAAAATCTGTATGCCCCATTGGAGGCTCTACCATCAAAATCCACAGAATCCATCAAAGGCTCTTCCCTCAAAATTCAGAGGATCCATCAAGTGGTAATGGTAATAATAGTCATTTCCTTATAAGGAAACATTTAGCATTCTTCAACAAAGCAGCCAGTGCTACTAAAGTTACACTTCAGATTGGCTCAAAGTGTAGTATCTGTTCTCATCACACATGGTAATGGTAATATTAGTTGTTTCCTTATAAGGAAACATTCAGTATTCATTGACTGAGTTACACTTTTCTTCACTGCTTGGCCATTGGGCTGGGATCAAAGTGTAGTATCTGTTCTCTAATGGTAATATTAATTGTTTCCTTATAAGGAAACATTCAGCAGTCATTGAACCCATAGCCAGGGCTACATGAGTTAGACTTTTTGTCACTTCCTGGTCATCAGGATGGGATCAAAGAGTAGTATCTGCCCTTTGGATGACAAACTACATTTTATCTCTCAATTGTTTTTCTGTCTGTGGACAGAGCACAACTGAAAAAACATTGAGACATGCTCAGTTCTAGGAAACAGCTGCCCACGGCTGTATCTTGCTCATCCGATGGTTTTGAGGGCTGGGCTAGGTGCTTGCACTCGTGCTTCCAACATTAAACTGACCTTGTGCCACATCTGGCCAGCATGAGGCAGCAAGTAAATATTAAGTGTAGTATCCATTCTTATCTCTAATGGTAATATTAGCTGTTTCCTTATAAGGAAACATTCAGCATTAATTCACAGAGCAGCCAGTACTGCTAAAGTTACACTTCAGATTGGGATCAAAGTGTAGTATCTGTTCCCATCACACATGGTAATGGTAATATTAGTTGTTTGCTTATAAGGAAACATTCAGTATTCATTGACCAAGAAATCATCAGGCTCTCTCAGAAATTATATTCTCAAAATCCACAAGCCACAACAGAGGCTTTCATCACAAAATCAACAGGCTGCAACAGAAGCATCTCAAAATCCACAGGATCCATAAAAAGCAATCATTAAAATTTGAATACTCCAACTGAGTCTTCACCTTCACAATCCATGGAATACATCAAAGGGTTCCCCCTTATCAGAATTCAAATGGCCACTCAGAGGAACCACATCAAATTTCAAATACACTCTCTCAGCCCCTGCCATCTAAATCCACATCCAACAACAAAATCTCCTCCCCTCAAAATCTACAATCTCTATCTTCTCTTTCTCAAATCCCCATACCTCATCTATGATTTACTCCTCAAAATTCACACATTGCCAACAAAGGCTTTTCATTGCCATATCAAATACATGTCTCATTAAAGTCTTCTGCTGTCAGTAATAAAACTTTTGGATAATTATTAACAAAACTTTCTAAAATGCACAACTATAAATATTTGATTATAAAATTGTTCCACTGTGTTTTTGTCTGGGTGCATTTGGTGGTAGGAGGCTAGAGATGGGTTAAAATAAGGGGGGAGGGTACTAACAAAGAAATAGAAATCACTTAACCTAAACCAGAATTTTGGCTGTGTATGATCACTATAGAAATTTTATGCCTTAGGAAAGGCATGAAATAATTTCTCCCTGTGTTCTGTTCCACCTCATTACTGACATGCCACAATGGTTGTCAAAAATAGGTGAGTAAACACGGGTGCAAACCACTCTCCCATAACTAATCTATCCACCCAGGGAATAGCAGCAAAAAGCTGTTGTCACTATTAGTCAGCCATGATTTTGATTTTAAATTATATATTTTTTTTTTTTATCTTTTAACCTTTGAAATTTTGGTTAAAAATTTTGTTTTTCTTGTGTCAATAGGTGACCATAAATTAGTATGGCAAATTTTAGCATCTTTTTGCTGTGTAAAACTCACTGATTTGGAAATTCTTACAAAAAGTTACATAATTGTCAAATTTTAATGTAACTTTTAGGACTCTTGTCTAAATTTCTGGTATTGTAACTATTTACTTTGTTTAGACTGTTGTCTTCATCTTTGTTGCCATATTCATGATGTTTCGTCCATTGTATGCTCCAGCCTTCTTCAGGTGATTGGAATTTCGAATCAAACTCTTTATTTCATCCACCAGGGTAGATTTCGGACTTATTCACAAATGAATGAAATTATTTTTTAAATGTTTCTTTTTTCGAAAATCTTTGTAAGAATATTTATTTTTTAAATCTGTTAACTCTAACTTATTTAATTTTATGAAATTTTGAGAAATTCTTTTTTGTATTGCTTAATATTTATATTAGTTATAAGGACAAGCCCTCAGAGAATTTAAATCATCAAATTTTTTTGTTAAAAGAATACCTCCAGTTACCAAAAATCTGCTTGGAATCATAAAATAAAAAAAAGCAATAAAACTAAGACATTATTTAATTATCAAAGATTTTAATTGCTTTTATGTATAAAACATTATGGATATTATTATCTTAAATAAAAGAAAATTTACTGAATAATCAAATTTTACAAAAATTGTTTGCATTTAAAAAAAAAAAAATTTAATTAGTATATAATTTATAAAATTTTAATCTTTTACAATCCTGTATTGTTTTTAGTGGTCAAGTGATACTGTTATTAAATTAAGATGGGATTTACTAATCATAAATGAAAAAGCTCACTACAATTCAATGACCAACCCCACCAATATTTTAAAAAGAATTTTGAATTTATTTTGTACTCGCTTAAAAGCCACTCCATTGGGCAACATTTAAGTTAGCCCCTGCAGAGAGCTCTTGATTGAGCCTTCAGCTTATTCAGGAGTTTGAGATTCTCTAAGACTTTTGCTTATTCTCAGCATTGCTAGCTCTCCTGGCTGCTGTTTGATCTGGGTTTTCATTTGCAGGGGACTTTCTCTAGATTAAAATCTGATTTCTTCTTGCGAAGCATAGTGCTGTCATATGTGATAGGCAACAATAAACTACAGAAGAACTCAAAATTGATCGCTGCATTTAAGTATTGCATTAATATCTAAGCTTACCTTTTAAAAGTCTAATGATAATTCTTCTACCGCCACTTAATTCAAAGACAATTTGATGTGTGTATGTCCTTACTTTTCATACAAAAAATTAATTGCAAGATCAGCTAAAGTCATGCTTGAAATAAAAATAATTCTGATTATTCCCATATTTATTTCCAAGTTATAAAAATTATCCTACAAAAAAAAAAAAAAAAGAAAAAAAAAAGAAATCACCAAAGACAATCGTAATAATGAAAATGTGGGAGCCCAAAATTTTTGTAACATGAGGAATTGAAAATTAGAAAGTTGTGTTCTTTTAATTGAAAATGTGTGACTCAATAACAGACTGACATTAACATTTATTATATAGAAGAAGATGAGATATTGAGTTTTGTGTCTCTTTAATTGAAAAAGTGTGACACAGTGACACACTGACATTGGAATTTATTATATAGATGTGTATAAACATGTCCATTTTTATAAATATGGATGTCTAAATGCAACATTATCAAAAAAAATAAGAACAGTGACTAGAAAAGTTAAAATTTATTTATAATTTTCCAATGTTTACTAAACAAGCATCTTTGGAAGTTAGTCTATAAAACCAAAGTACTTAAAATTCAATAAAATGTTAGACTGTTTAGAATATTTTCTTAAATTTTTAAGATTATGGGGGGGGGAGTTAAAAAAAATTATATAAAATAGCATTTCAAGAGTTATATTTATGAAAAAAATTTAGAAAAAAACCCAAACAAGTTTATCAAGAAATTTATCAACACCTCAACATAAGTATCTTGATAAAATTTTCTAAAAAAGCATAGCATGATGAAAGAGGGCCTTAAACTAGATAGAAATATATTTTTTTACTGTCTAAATTAGGTATCTCCACAAAATCGCTAAAAAAAAAAAAAAAAAAAAAAAAATAGAGCATAGTCTGATGAAAAAGATGCCAAACTTTATGAAAACAAAATTTTATTGTCTAAATGCTTATGTTTTTATGAAGAGGAAAGACCAAAGTTTTTTTTAATTATTTTAAAAAATTTTTCCTTCTTTTTAGAACATTCTAAATGTTGATTAAAAAAACCTTGTTTCGCTTTCTACCAACTGGAACTAGTAAAATAACATAGACAATTTTTAGCACGTTTTTTTTTGTATTACACACATTAATTTGGAAAATTAATCTTGCAATAATAAAAATAATTGTCAGATGTTAATGAAACTTTCAGAAACTATTCACAGATGATCGAAATTATTATAAATATGTTTTTTTTTATTAAAGTCATGGCAGAAATATGTTTTTTTTATATTTATTAACACCCCCATAACTAATTTTATGAAAAACTCTAGAAATTCGAGCGTATCAACTTTAGTGATTACAATAGTTAAAAGCACAAGGCTTTGAAGAATGCAAATCATGTTTTTTTTTTAATTGGATCCGCAGTATCTGAAAATCAGCTCTGAATTGTAACATACAAACCTCAATAAAACAAAGATACTATTTAATTTCAAATGCTTTTATTTGTTTTTAGTTGTTTTTATGAATATGGACAATATTTTCTGAAAGCAAAAAATTTTTTTCAATGAAAATTGAATTTTTAATACAATTATTTGTTATTTCTTTAATTATAATAGATTTTTACATTAAGTTTTTTAAAAATATTATAAAATTAGTTAAAAGCCACATCAACTTTTCTAAGTGTCCTTATGAGATTGTCATTGTCTAGCGCTTTGAAACTTGTATCATTTGGACCAATCAGAAGATCCGAGGTAATTAAGAAATGTAATTTTGTGCTTATAAGTGGGCTGTAATTATAAAGTATGGAAGACCAACTAGAATATAATTAAGTTGCATTATTTGAGTTAAGCATTGTTCTCCGCTGTTAAGGCCTTTACTTTTGCGAAGTTAATTTGATTTTTCAATTTCAACTGAGAAGGGTACCTACAAGTATCAGTATCATCTTATGAAATTTATATGATCTTATTTTTGTATTAATCTCAGTTATGACATTTTTCCATAAATAAATTATCAAAATTAATAATAAAATGAATGGAAATACAAA